CCCCCCCGCGGGGGAGGGGACAGCAAAGCCCCCAAGGGGGGGGGGGGACACACTCAAGTCCCCTCCTGGCCACCCGGTGTCACCGAGCGCCTTGGGGACACCCTGGGGACACCCTGGGGACACCCCAGCTCCCTACCGCAGCAAAGCAAGGCCGAACTCAACCCCCCGCCGGAGTCCTCCCCGCCGCGGGGATGTCACCCCGGTGTCACCGTCGCTCGGTGGCCGTCGCGGGTCCCCGCGTCACCAACGTCACGGGGTTTTTTTTTGCGGTTGTTTTGCCCCGTTTCCGCAGTTTTTTGCATGGGCAGAGCCCCGCCGCGGCCATGGGGCAGAGCGAGTCGGAGCCGCAGGAGGAGGCGGAGGTAGGAAACGTCACCGCGGCCGGGCAGGGGTGACAGTCACCCGTCACCACCCCGTGTGCGGGTCCCCCCCGTCCCCCCCACCACCACCACCCTGGGGGGTCACCGGGGGCTCAGTGTCCCCTTGTCCCCCCGCAGGACGCGTCCCTGACGGCCGTGCTGCCCAAGCTCTTCGCCGAGGAGCAGCTCCCCACCGGCACGGTGAGCACCTCCAGGGGACACCAACTTGTCCCCGTGTCCCCAAGGGTCAGTGTCCCCATGTCCCCAGGGGTCGGTGTCCCCGTCCCCAGTGCTCTTCAGCCCCCCTGAGGGGACACAAACGTGTCCCCGTGTCCCCAGGTGACACCATCCTGGTCCCCAATGCTGTTGAGCAACCCCTAGGTGACACAAACGTGTCCCCATGCCCCTGGGGACAGGCATCCTGGTCCCCAATTCTATTGAGCACCCTTGAGGGGACACGAATTTGTCCCTGTGCCTCTGGGGACGTGAACTTGTCCCTGTACCCTTGGGGACAGTGTCCTGGTCCCCAGTGCTGTTGAGCACCCATAGGGCACACGAACTTGTCCCCATGTCCCCAGGGGTCAGTGTCCCCGTCCCCAGTGCTCTTCAGCACCCCTGAGGGGACACAAACATGTCCCCGTGTCCCCAGGTGACACCATCCTGGTCCCCGGTGCTGTTGAGCAACCCCTAGGTGACACAAATGTGTCCCCAGGTGACAGCATCCTGGTCCCCAATGCTATTGAGCACCTCCAAGGGACACCAAATTGTCCCCATCTCCCCAGGGGACAGTGTCCCCATCCCCAGGGGTCAGCGTCCCCGTCCCCAGTGTTCTTCAGCACCCTTAAGGGGACACTAACGTGTCCCCATGTCCCCAGGTGACAGCATCCTGGTCCCCAATGCTGTTGAGCACCCTGAGGGGACACAAACTTGTCCCCACACCCCAGGTGACGGCATCTCAACCCCTGATGCTGTCGAGCCCCTCCCATCCCTCCACGTCACCACGGTGGCAGTGCCATCGGCCACCCCCTGCGCTCGTCCCCATCCCCCGGGGGACACCGGGGACCGCGTGGGGACCCGTCTCCCTCCGCAGGTGCTGGGGGCGATGCTCGGCCTCGGCCTCTTCGCTGTCATCGTCGCCGCTGCCATCGTGGTCCTGGTCCGTCGGCTGCGCCTGAAGAGTGAGTGACACCGCCGCAGTGGCCTTGGGGACAGGGGGTGACAGGGCCGCGCCCCGGTAACCTGTCCCCGTCGCGCTCCCCAGAACTACCCGCGCAGGGGACACCGAAATATCGCTTCCGCAAACGGGACAAGATGCTCTTCTACGGCCGCAAGATCATGCGCAAGGTGACGCTCGGGGTGGCAGCCGGGGTGGCTTCGCGTTGTCACCATCGGGTGACACCCCAGCTCGGTGTCCCCAACCCTAGGTGTCCCAATCCACCTCCTCCCTGGTGGACACCACCATTTCCAGCGCTTCGCGGCCTCGGATGAAAAAAAAACTCAAGATGCTCAACATCGCCAAAAAGTGAGGTGCCACCGGCGCCGGGAGATGGGGAGGGGCGGTGGTGGCCGTGCCCCGATGTCACCTCCTTGTCCCCAAGGTTCCTGCGCATCCAGAAGGAGCTGCCCACGCTGCAGCTGAAGGAGCCGCCGCCCTCGGTGCTGGAAGCCGATTTGACCGAATTTGATGTGGCCAATTCCCATCTTCCCTCCGAGGTTCTCTACATGCTCAAAAATGTCCGGTGAGGCTCAGGATCAGGTCCTGGTGGGCAGGATCTGGCCCCAGGGTCAGGATCAGGCCCCTGGGGGGGGTCAGGATCCATCCTCAGGGGGTCAGGATCAGGCCCCAGGGTGAGGATCCAGCTGTGGGGGTCAGGATCAGGCCCCGGGGTCAGGATCAGGCCCCTGCGGTGGGTCAGGATCCAGCTATGGGGGTCAGGATCAGGCCCCTGCGGGGGGTCAGCGTCTAGCTGTGGGGATCAGGATCAGGCCCCAGGGTCAGGATCAGGCCCCTGCGGGGGGTCAGCATCCAGCTGTGGGGGTCAGGATCAGGCCCCGGGGTCAGGATCAGGCCCCTGCGGGGGGTCAGGATCCAGCTACGGGGGTCAGGATCAGGCCCCTGGGGGTGTCAGGATCCAGCTGTGGGGATCAGGATCAGACCCTGGAGTCAGGATCAGGCTCTAGGGTCAGGATCTGTCCACAGGGGTCAGGATCCATCCTCAGGGCATCAGGATCAGGCCCCAGGGTCAGAATTAGGCCCCAAGGGCATCAGGATCAGGCCCCAGGAGGATCAGGATACGGCCCCAGGGGAGTCAGGATCCAGTCCCAGGGTCAGGATCCATCCCTGGGGTTCAGAATCTGGCCTGGGGTTCAGGATCCATCCCTGGGGGTCAGGATCCGGCCCCAGGTGGGTCAGGATCAGGCCCAGGGGCTCAGGATCTGTCCACAGAGGTCAGGATCCATCCTCAGGGTGTCAGGATCAGGCCCCAGGGGGATCAAGATCCAGCCACAGCAAGTCAGGATCAATCCCTGGGATCAGGATCAGGCCTCATGGGGGGGTCAGGATGCAGCCCCAGAGGGTCAAGATCTGGCCGCAGGGGGTTCAGGATCAATCCCTGGGGTCAGGATCCGACCCCAGAGTCAGGATCCAACCCTGGAAACCCTCTGTAAGGGGAGGCTGGACCACTACGCCGAAGGATGCTCTTCCCCTTCTGCATCCCCATCGCCGTGGCAACCGGCCACTGGGGTGGCTGCAGAGGACCGGAGCAGGGCTCCATGTCACCCGCTGTCCCCATCCTTGTCCCCGTAGGGTGCTGGGCCACTTTGAGAAGCCGTTGTTCCTGGAGCTTTGCAAGCACATGGTTTTCCAGCAATGCCAACAAGGTGACTACGTTTTCCGTCCCGGACAACCCGACACCAGCATCTACGTGGTGCAGGATGGCAAGTTGGAGCTCTTCCTCACCGAACCGGTGCGCAGGGACGCGGGAGGGGGATGGGGATGGAAAAAGTAAGGGGGAGGTTGTGCTTCGCAGGATGGGAAGGAGACGGTGATGAAGGAGGTGTTCCCCGGGGACAGCGTGCACAGCCTGCTCAGCATCCTCGACGTCATCACGGTACCGGCGCCGTGGCTGACCCCAACACCCATCCCGTGACAGATTGTGGTTGTCCCCAAGCCCCCTAAACCTGATCATGGCCATCCCCAAACCCCCTAAGCTTGAACGTGGCTGTCCCCAAGCCCCACCAGCCGTCCCCAAACCTCACCAGCTGTCCCCAAACCCCTTCAGCCTGACCGTGGCTGTCCCCCAACCTTCCCAGCCCAACCGTGGCTGTCCCCAGGCCCCACCAGCTGGCACCAAACCTCTCCAGCCCAACCCTGGCCATCCCCAAGCCCCACCGGCTGTCCCCAAATCCATCCAGCGCAACCGCGGCCATCCCCAAGCCCTACCATGGCCATCCCCAAACTCCTCCAGCCCAACCGCGGCCCCCCTCAAGCCCAACCATTGCCATCCCCAAACTCCTCCAGCCCAACCGTTGGCCACCCTCAAGCCCTACTATGGCCATCCCCAAACTCCTCCAGCCCAACCATGGCCATCCCCAAGCCCAACTGGCCAAAAGCCCAGTGCCACCAGCAGGTTTCACCAGCCCCCAGCTGCCACCATCCCCCATCCATGGCCGGGATGGACCTCCCCATCCCAGCAAGGCCACCAACGCCACGGCATGTTACCTAGGGCCACCAGCGACCATACCGGACGGTGTGTGCCCGGGCGGCGGAGGACTCCACCGTGCTACGGCTACCGGTCGAAGCCTTCTCTGCCGTCTTCGAGAAGTACCCTGAGAGCTTGGTGCGGGTGGTGCAGGTCAGTCCAAGTTGGGGGGACCACAGGGGGGTCCCTTGGGGTGGCAGGGGACCACTGATGGCTTCTTGTCCCCCCCCCCAGATCATCATGGTGCGGCTCCAGCGCGTCACCTTCTTGGCTTTGCACAACTACCTTGGGTTGACCAACGAGCTCTTCAGCCATGTCAGTACATGCCGAAAAT